TGAGGCTTGTCTTTACCACTGTGGCTTAATATTTAGGTCAAATGCTAAACGTAAGACTGCACAAAGATTTCAGGGATGCTCTGAAAAGTAGAGAAATCATAGTCATAAAAACGTTAAGCTACTCAGAAAAAAATCCTGCTCTAACTGTTAAGTGGTTTGCTAAAGACCATGAGGCTCTTGTTTATGGGCTCCTGTGGGTCCTCCATGGAAGTGTGTTCAAGGTCCTGTCAAGTCGGTCACGATGGTCATGGCAGGAACCAGTCTGGGTGAATGGCAAAATTGGGAGTTAGAGAATGGAAGTGAATGAGATTATGTACCTCTTCTTTAAACCCACATAGTTTTGAGGATTAGCAAATTACTATTCATAAGACATGTTAGAATCCTTGAATAGCAGATACTAGATCATTATGATGGAGAAGTATCGTTTTTAATGGAAGCTAAAAAATGATCTATAGTAGCACCAGGAGAATGGTCCACATTTGGTTGTACTTTGAATTCCTCTCTGTAGACAAAGAATAATCCCCCAAGCCCATCTGGAAGCTGAGAACAGAGCCTGCAAACCATTTTATAAGCCCCATCCTTTCCCTTAGGTATGTTCTCAAGCTCTTCCAGTACTCCCTGAGCACAGACAAGGGCTGCTTTTTCTGCAGATTGCACTTTCCTTCCCACACATAAAAAAAAAAAAAAGGAAAAAAGGAGGAAGGAAAAAGGAGGTCTGCAGCCCACCTATCTTTGTCTCATTTGCCTGGAAAAGTGTATCCTTTTTTTCCTCTGGGGCATGTATTCAAATGGTAGATAAATGATAGAGAAATAGTTGCTAAAATGTTTCTGAAGGTCCCTTCCCCGCCATATCAGAAGAGATAAGCACTTTCTTTTTTTTTTTTTTTGAGACAGAGCCTCAAGCTGCCCCCCTGGGTAGAGTGCCATGGCTTCACTGCTCACAGCAACCTCCAACTCCTGGGCTCAAGTGAGTCTCCTGCCTCAGCCTCCCAAGTAGCTGGGACCACAGCACTCTCCACAATGCCCGGCTTTTTTTTTTGCTATTTTTTGGTTGCAGCCATTATTGTTGTTTGACGGGCCAGGCTGGATTCAAACCCCCACCTTAGGTGTATGTGGCTGGCGCCTTAGCCGCTTGAGCCACAGGCGCCAAGCCAAGATAAGCACTTTCTAAAGGTTTGAATTAGCCAGTGTCTTGTTTTGATAAAGACTCTATTTGTTGTTTAATAATTGACAACTTTTTTCCTTGCAATGAAGAGTTGAGGTTGACCCTGTGAACAGACCACATGGTCAAAGATTATAGTCTCATCCATTGCTATCCGATAGTAAGAACTCTAGCCACCAGGTAAAATGGAGGAGAAAGTCAAATACATTCATAGTTTCTTAACCTTGGCCCAGCATGAGAAACCCACTTCTATGTCAGAGAGTGGATCTTCTTCCCTCAGGTGTACGACCCTGGTTAACAGATTACTTCACCAGTTCTGTAATCAAAGCAGCCTCCCTGCAGCTTTCCAGGAGAACTTTCTTCTTGGCTACAAACAGTTCCTGCCATGGCCACTATCAAATCAGATTTTTTAGGCCCTCCCTTGAACTGCTTGAATTATTCAGGCTTTCTCCACTTACGTGCCAGTCCTGGCACTGAACACATGGCCAGCCTTAGTCGTATGCTGAAGCCAGTAATTTCCAATGCTGAACAATTTTCAAGAGCTGAGCTATTCAATTTTTATTTGTTGCCTTTTCACTATAATGGTAGCAAATTATATGAAAGTGTTTTATATGTATGTGTATATATATGCGTATATTACATAACATGTTATACCCTTAGAAAGCATTCATTGACAGCTTTTTTCAATATATTGATAAGTTTCCATCACAATTCTTTCATATCCAAGCCAGGCATGTCCCAGCACCCTACTCATGACTCTACTCTGACCGTGTTTATGAGGCCTGTTCCTAGATCATGCTCCAGGTATCTGGATCCCCAGCTATCCTGATCTAATGACCCCAAACCTGTCTCCAGGGTATGTTTAGGCCTCTCTCCTAGATGCATCTTCCTGCAGCAGACTGGCCAATGGTATAAGCCCCTAAGGTCTGCGAGGTGGCCCAGGGGCCCTATCAGGAGGGTTATGATGGAGAGTGGATGTGGTGTCCACACACATGTATGTCAAGCACTCACAGAGTGGGACAGGCCGGCTGTAAGAAGAGAACAAGGGCTATAGGCCAGGGGCCAGTGCTGGCTTCACTGCCAAGTTCTAGCACAGAATTTCAAGGAACCCAAGCATTTGAAATTTGGCCCTGGATTTCTAGGTTATTTATAATGTGTATTTATCAAAGTTAAGAGGACAGAACGTATTTTATTTAACAGTTTGTAGCTAGATTTATATAGCCTTTACATATTTTGGCATCATATGTGGGCCTCCATTCATGTCGCCCTCCTGGGGATGAGTCCTAGGTCTTCACCTTCCGCCACATCTGTCACCAGTGTGCAAGTTCAGCATGTCTGCGAGGGAGCTCATCTTCCCCCAATAACCTCCCTTCTGACTTCCCATTTTTGCACAATAACAACTTCAACAGAAATTTTTCTATTTCTCTTCATTTTACATGCAATGGTTTCAGTTATTTTATGGGTTCTTTGTCAGCTGGCTTGGGCTAACCACCACTTATCCCATGATTGCTGAGGGGGAAAAAATTGCTTTCCAACTTCCAAACAGATTATTTGTGGAAAAATGTAGCCTACGTGCAAAAGGAAATCTTATTGCCCCAGCTGGATTGCAAACTCTTTTCAAGCATTTGTGCAATAGATATGCTGGGCACTCCCGTAGATACTAAAAATTCAAAGACAAATCAACTATGGCCTTGCCTTCGAAGAACTCACCATTTTAAAAGTAACAGACATGAAAAGAATTACTTGCATTCCCCTACAACACCGGGAGTAGTCTTTTGCCATGGTAGGTGCTCAGAAGCCATCTGTTGATTGATGGTTGGTTGGTGGATATTGCTGATTATTTAGCATTTTATCCCATAGTATTTATTCCAAGTGCTCCCTAAAGTCCTTTGCCCCAGACCCACACTCAGGATTTTCTTTGCAGACGCCCAGATGCCCTAAGGTTCTCGTCTTTATATCAGCATCAGAAAAACTTACAAAGGAAGGTAGGAGGAAACAGGGACTTTGGGGGCAAACTCAACAGTTGGAAGGAACTACCCTGCCCCAATTTTAGTTTACCTGAGGCCCAAAACTTTTTTCCAGATTCTGTAAAAGAGTTGCCTTTGACTCCCCGTTCTAGTTTTTTCTCAGTAGGCAGGACTTTCTCATGTACATAGAGAGATAGGAATTAAAAAGATACTTTCTAAATTGAAAAATATGGCTCGGCACCCATAGCTCAGTGGTTAGGGTGCCAGCCACATACACCAGAGCTGGCAGGTTCAAACCCTGCCTGGGCCTGCTAAACAACAACGACAACTACAACAACAACAAAAAAAAATAGCTAGGCATGGTGGCTGCACCTGTGGTCCCAGCTACTTGGGAGGCTGAGGCATGTGGATCCCTTGAGCCAAAGACTGAGGTTGCTGTGAGCTATGACTCCATGGCACTCTACCAAGGGCAACATAGTGAGACTCTGTCTCAAAAAAATTAAAAAAATAAATTGAAAAATATGTTGTCCAGTATTAAGTGGAAAAGCAGATTATAAAATTACATGGTCAATGTTATCCTTTTAGTTAAAATTTTATTGATATAAATTTGTTTGTATGTGAATGTACAACCTCTTGCATATATATTGAAAGGAAATAAAAGCCTAGGAGCTTATTCAACAGAACATTAGCCATCTTTAGTGGGATTAATGGTAATTTTTATTTTCTCTTTTGTGCTTTTCTGTAATTTTTACAATATATATACTTTACTTTTTCCAGCAGGAGAAAGCTGTATGTTTTCTATGGTGGCATAAAATTACTACAAACACAGCAGCTTAATACTTTGAGTTGATAAATTCAGTTGTAGTTCAGAATTCCAGGCATATCAGCTGGATTCTCTGCATAGGGGCTTAGAAGGCTGAAATCATGGTGTCAGCCAGGCTGGGTTCTATCTGAAGAATCCTCTCACCCAGACCATGGGCAAATTCAATTCCTTGTGGTCCTAAGGCAGAGATTTATGTGTCCCTGCTGGCTGTCAGCCAGGATTGCCCCTGTCTCTTAGATGCCACTCTCACATCCTTGACCCGTAGTCCCCTCTCTCCCAGGCATAGGTAACTCCCTCATGCCAAATCTCCCTCAGGCTTTAAATCTTACCCTGCCCCCAGCAGCTGGCAGTGGGGGGAAGGCTCATGTGATTGGATTAGACCCAAATAAACTTAATTACATCTGCAAACCCTCTTTTGCCATATAAGTTAGCAAAATCGCAAGTAATATCTCATCATTTACAGGTCCTGTCCACACATAAGGGGAGACCATAAAGAACACGTACACCAGGGGGCTGGAATCTTAAGTGCCAGAACACTGTCCATCACTCTGTGTGTGTGTGTGTGTGTGTGTGTGTGTGTGTGTGTGTTTACGTGATCATGTAAATGTTATGTTTACATTTACTTTTACGTTTAAGAGAACATCTCTTATCTAGACGATGCACACCCACTCACAGTTCTGCATGAGCGGGGACCATACGTTAGAAGGAACAGAACATGCCATCCAGGAGATTATTAAAGAAGAATGTGTATTTTGGGGTCCTCCCTGAAAGTTAAAAATGAAACTTGGGGGAGATGCTGAGGCCTCATTACACTTTCTACCTCCTCCTGGAGAACAGAGGTCACAGAAGAGATGGATCAGAAATGAAATGAACGAGTCTGACTTTGTTTGCTTTTGTTGATAAACACAGATCTGTCTGACTACACTTCTTATCACCATATTTTCTGCAACTTTAGACAACAACAGTCAAAAGAGTGAGACATTTGGAGGCCCCATGACAGTTCTTTAATGGACAACAGTTTCTAACTCTCTGGTTCTCTCGTATGTAGTATGACATCGTTGGACACTCTGGAGATGGCTACAACATTGCCCTAGTTCCAATGAACAAACTCCCCAAGGACAATAAACAAAGACTAGACATTCTGAAGGTAAATATATTCAATTATCTCTATATTATGAAAGCTTCTAACATATTAGATAAAGAATAAAAAGGTTCTTGGAAGAAGCAGTAGACCCAGGGGGAAAAAGATCTACTTCAAGCATTAGACTGTGGAAACACCCATTGTGCCCCAAAATACTTGTCTCCATCATATGCAGTTTAAAATTTGTTCCCTACATATTTTTAGAACACTCAGTATTCCATTAGAATTCTGCAACCTGGATCCCCTGGTACAGTATGTCCTGTACAGTGTTCAGTAGAAGGAAAAGAATGACTCCTTATAGGATTCTCTCTGTCCTCAATTTTACGTGTTTCTTGATGTTTCCTACTAATAAATTCTGTTTCATATACTTAAATTTGCAATAGAAGCATGCATACCATGATTTAAAGTAAGTTTCCTCTATTGATGTCAGTACAGAGTTGAGTATTATAACTTTGTTTACTGGAAACTCAACCCGTTACTCATCTTCCTCCTGTTTGATCTCCATCCTCCAGTGTGACACCACATTTTATATTTTTTAACATTTTCTCACTTTAAATGGAAGCTTGAGTTTTAAAATAAGCACCACCTGTGATAATTTTAGAATGTCCCTAATGAAAGTCTATACCAAATACAAATAACACCTTGGGTCACCCAAATGTGCAAATTCAATAAAATTCATCTGGAGAGGTATTACTCATGCATAACAATTGGTATTTATAGATTCTCATAGTCAACAGAAAAATCATCATGTTTGTTCAAAAAGAAATATCTCACCCATAGCTTTTGTGCAACACCTCTTATCTAGACCATGCACGCCCACTCACAGTTCTGCATGAGCGGGGACCACACGTTAGAAGGAACAGAACATGCCATCAAGGAGATCATCAAAGAAGAAGCTGACGAGTACTTCGTCATAGTCTTGAGTGATGCAAATCTGTCACGATATGGAATACATCCTGCCAAGTTTACACAAATCCTCACAAGTAACCCCCAAGTGAATGCTTTCGCCATTTTTATTGGCTCTTTAGGTGATCAAGCGACCAGGTAAGTGTCATCTTAGCACAGAGCAAAAAGCGGACATAGAGACGCTGAGTAGCTGACACACTGTTTCATGGGCTCAGCGTCGGGAGGGGCAATGGGGGAGATGGAAACGGAGTCACTACCCTCAAGGAGCTTATAGTCTAGTTGGGAGGTATGTTCTAGCTTTTGTTTAGATTAACAATATAACTTTAAATTAATTACTTTTTAGTTTATATTATAAAATAGTAATTTGATTTGTACACTAATAAGCAGTATTTTATACAGTTAACACTTTATATCAACCTCCAAATCTCAGTCTAGTCATTTTGTGTTTAAATCATGTTCGGAATAGTGAACATCTATTGTTTTCCCAGCGCAAGAGATAATATTTATATATGTAAAACAACATACTGTTAAACAAGAAATATCTCACCCATAGCTTTTGTACAACATCTCAGACATATTTATCCCTTCTTTTGGGGAAACAAGGCAGGTGAAACACTTGGTGGGCAACATAAGTCAATATACATAGATACATAGTTAGATGCTGGGCCTGGCACAGTGGCTCTCACTTGTAGTCCTAGCACTCTGGAAGGCCAAGGCAGGTGGATCACCTGAGCTCAGTAGTCCAAGACCAGGCTGAGCAAAGCAAGGCCCCATCTCTACAAATAGAGAAAAAAATAAAAAAACCTAGTCAGGCATTGTGGCAGGCTCCTGTAGTCTCAGCTACTTGGGAGGCTGAGGCAAGAGGATCACTTGAACTTAAGAGTTTGAGGTTGCTGTGAGCTATAATACCATGGCACTCAACCCAAAGGTGACTTGAGTAAGTCTCTGTCTCAGAAAAAGAAAAAAAAAGATACACAGTTAGATGCCAATTGAATATACTGAAAATTCAATAGAGAAATTTGTGGTCAAACAATAAATACCATTGGGTAAAGTCTGAAAGGAGAGATCTGGAAACACTTTCGTAACTTGAACACACTAACATTTATCTTTTTTAATTACAAAATAGAAAAAGCTCATGATTTTTCTCTGCTTAAAATACCCATAAGAAGTAGAAAACATGGCTGGGTGTGGTGGTTCACACCTGTAATCCCAACCATTTGAAGGCCCAGGCAGTAGGATCACTTGAGACCAGTTTACGCAACATGGCAAGACCCTATCTCTACAAAAAAATTAAAAATTAACTAGGCATGGTGGCACAGGCCTGTAGGCCCAGCTACTCAGGAGGCTGAGGCAGGAAGGTAACATGACCCCTGGAGTTCAAGGCTACAGTGAGCTATGATCGTGCCACTGCACTCCAGCGTGGGCAACAGAGAGAAAGATTCCTATCTCACAAAAGAAGAAACACAAATGAAAGTATATAGTGTATCTCTTTGCCCCCCAAAAGCAAATAAATAAATAAAAGCTACCAAAAGCACAAAAGGCCTAGCTTTTTTATCACCACCCCACTTTTCACCTGTCATACTCTGTCGTGTAGAGCCTTGTGTAGACTGGGAAATGCTGACGTCTTTTCCCCTTTCCATTGCCTTTGCTTTGCGGCAGGATTGCAGAGTAAGGTTGAGGACAGACATCATACATGTATCATGTGATTGCAGTCACTTTTTTATGAACAACTTTGCGTTTTTCTTTGTTTTACTTATTAGCACTTCGCATCTTCCAGAACCTCTGTGTCCGCAAGCACAAACCATGCCTTTTCTGCCCAAATTGTCCTCAACATCAGCCCAGTATTAGGCAGACATCAAGTTCAACAAATACTAGTTGAGTTGAAATGGCTAATTTGTCTTTCTAGTGAACAGATCCAGTTTGAATACTTAGGAAAGCACAATAATACTCTGCGGTTTCCTAGGGAAATGGTCCAACATCCACTGGCAAAAGATATGTTGCAGAATTAACTGGTCTACCAGGCGTGCCAAACGTACACTACTTCACAGGATGGTTGACTTTTATTAAATGTCATTCCAAAACCAGACTTTGTTGGCACAGTGAAAGGAGCCATTCTTTTGAAGAGAACTGTGTCTTGCAGTTTTATTGCCTTTAAAAATGGCCTTTTGTTCCAAATAATAAATTAGTGTTTAAAAAACGTTGTCATAACTTCAACGGCATGTTATTTTTAAGGATAATTTAAACCAAAGCCTTCTATACGTTTTTGAAAATTCATTTAAAAATTAGTTGAAAAAAATTATCGTTGGCCTATATAATCTCAGTTTCATCAAAGCAACAATTGAATAAGCCAGATTGCATTTCACTTGTATGATGTGGAGCTAAGAAGGCGAGAGAGAGGAGAGAAAGAGCTGCGCCACATTTTTGAAGTCCTGTTTTCTAAGGAAGGAAAAGCTTTTAGGAGTCCAGGGGGAGGCCAGCACATTTGCTGGACCCAGGTGAGCTAAGCCCAGAAGAGTCTCTAGGGACTCTTCAAAGGGAATATGAAATACCAGGAAACAACAGTAATAAAAGGAAGAGGATTTTTTCTTTTCACGTTTGCTGATTTTCTCACTGAAAATTACTTGTGGCTCACTGGTTTCTCTGTGTCTCTCCCTGTCACTCTTCCAAGCCTTTCAGGGCTTAGTGACAGCCAATCCAATTTTCCCCACAGTGAGCAAGGTACTAGAAAGTAAAAACTTCCTTTCCTAAGAAACCGTTGGAGGCTGTGATTTGCCAGGACAGGAGGTAGAAGGGGAACCCCAATTTGCAATGGTAATTTTCTTTCCCTTTCCATCTGGGCAGGCTTCAGAGAACTTTACCCGCTGGCCGGTCTTTCGTTGCCATGGATACCAAGCACATCCCTCAAATTTTACAACAGATCTTCACGTCTACCATGTTGTCGAACGTTTAAGAAGTGCCCTTCATCCCCCTGTTGACCCCCTACCATTTGAAATAAGATAAGAATAAAGACTATTCTTAAGAAAAGACATTGGTAAAGTAAGCCCATGCAATGACTGGATAATTTGGCATTCCCGGGTCTTCCTACATGTGCTCAGCAATTAGAATTCAGAAAAGCAGCCAGAAGGAGACTTGTGCTTGGATGTCTACAACCGTCGATGGGCTTAGAAATCATTAGAGGAAACGAACTGACCTGCATTTTAGAAAAGGTCAGAGTTAAAAGAAGGTGGTTTTGAGAACTATGGTGCTTGGTCTTTTTCAAAAACCTGAGGGGGGAAAAGAGTAACTTGCTTTTGCCTTAACATATCATCTGGTCACCCAAGAAAAGCAATCCCATCAAACTGAGCCTTCAATGCCACATTCTGACATTGCGATTCAAGTCTGTGCAAACCCCACCCAACATGCTCCTGTCCAATAATTACTTTTATTTTTCCTTGCTTTGCATTGTCCAGTAAAGAATAATTTTATAGCATTTAACCCACTAAAAATTCAGTCCTTCCAGTAACAGTTATTTCATAGAAGGTTGGATTTTCTCGATACTTTTATTTTCTTGGACAAAGCCAAAAGGAACCGAAAGGTGCTCAGAGCACTTGACTTCCCACGTGACTATTATAAGGCTCTTTAAAAGATAAATAGCAACTGTCCTGTTCTCCTAGCTGCTAGCATGAAAGAAAAAAGATGTCATGCCTCAAGTTTCCTGTTTCTTCTTCTTCTAATGCTTCCCAGAAGATTCACATTACTGTGGTTGCCAAAACATAATGCTCAAAGTAGCAAATACATATAAGAACAATTATTTATTGAGAACATTTTATAAAAATTACCTAAGGCAATTTGGTAATTCTCCCAGTTTTATCATGATACTGTGTGTACAGACATTGGAACACTACTTCGCACCCCATTAATATGTATACTTACGTGTCAATTATAAATAAAAATAATTTTTAAAAATTACCTAAAGCAAAGTAAAAACAAGGTAGTATGTTTGAACTGAATAGTTATTGGATAGTTCTCTAGCTATTAAAAAGAAACAAAAAACAAACCTTTTTTTTCTAAGCCTCATTCTTTTTCTTCAAAGTATACCTCAATCCCACTCTTGGGTTAACCTTTATTGATCCATATGCTCGGTATTGTTTTGTTTAAAATCAAATGTTTCAGCAGACACCATTCTGTCTTCAACCATATAATAAAATAGTCTCCATTTAATGGCAAAATCAGAAATGCTGGGACACTATTGAGTTGGAAAAACAGGTCTTAAATTTGTAAAACCAGTCTTGCTAATAATGTTATCCTGTTCACCCACGTTCTTTGAAACTGTACAAGGCCGTAATTTCATTGTATTTAATTATAGGACAGCAGATAACACCCATTTGTTCCACCAGCCCATCTTCTTATCACTAAATGTCAAAGAAATAAAAACAATCAAATTTCCAGTGTAGCACTGTTAGGTAGTTAGCCAGGAATCCCAGCTCTCCTAAGGAAGGACAAGGGTGGGACCCCAGGCCTCCATCTTGATCCCTCCCACCTTAAATTTATCCTAAGTGATTGCTCACACCTGGGGAGGAGGGACTGTCCTACCAATCTACCAATCAGAACGTAGCATGCCAGCTGCTGTGGAAGACTCTCCAGCCTAGCAGTGAGTACCAGAGAATCTCACAGATGACCTACAACAGCCTGGAGACTGATTACCATGCAGTCCACACACCCCCCTGGGCTCTCAGAGAGGTTCATGGGAGGTCTTTGTGCATAGTAGGGCTGAATGAAATAGGCCTGATCCCGACATTGTAAAACAGTATCCACAGTCAGAAGTCATGCCTTTTTCCCTGTGACAATGGGGCCTGTTCACTGTTCATAGCAAGCATGTCTGCTCTGTAAGCCTTTACCTCACTCTGACTCGATAAGCCTATCTTTCTCTTTCTCAATAAACTTTGTTAAATGCTTGCCTTACTTTGGGGCATCTGGTCATTTTTCAACCAAGAGTGTTCCAAGTGTCAAGGACCCAGGTAGCTGCTCGAAACCCTGACACTTTAGGCCAGGGGTCCTCAAACTTTTCAAACAGGGGGCCAGTTCACTGTCCCTCAGACCGTTGGAGAGCCGGACTATAGTTTAAAAGGACAGGCAGCGGCAGCAAAAATACCTGGTGGGCCAGATAAATGTCTTTGGCAGGCCGCATGTGGCCTGCAGGCCATAGTTTGAGGACGCCTGCTAGGCTGTAGGTAGCTGCCTTGAAACCCAGCAGTACTACCCAATGAGTTGGCATGGCTTCCTTTTCCTCTAGCCAGATGCTTACTCCATGTGTTGAATCATCCAATGATGCAAAGAATTTCAATCTAATAAGCACCTTACAAAATGTAATTGCATTGATGATAATAACAGCTACCATTTACTAATTATTTACTGTGTACCAGGTATAGGCAGTGATTTCAAACATTGCTTCATTTGGTCTTGGCAACACGTGTAAGTAGATATTTTCTTTTTTTTTTTTTTTTTTGAGACAGAGCCTCAAGCTGTCCCCCTGAATAGAGTGCCATGGCATTACAGCTCACAGCAACCTCCAACTCCTGGGCTCAAGCGAGTCTCCTGCCTCTGCCTCCCAAGTAGCTGGGACCACAGGCGCCCGCCACAATGCCCGGCCATTTTTTTTGGTTGCAGCTGTCATTGTTGTTTGGCGGGTGGGCTGGGGATTCGAACCCGCCACCTTAGGTGTACGTGGCTGGCACCCTAGCCGGTTGAGCTATAGGCGCCGAGCCGTAAGTAGATATTTTCAACGTTGTTTTACAGATGAAGAATATGAGGCTCAGAGAACTTGTCACAATCCCAAGATTCCTGATAATAGACTATTGAGTAACTAAACATTCTACTGTTAACATCTCATTTTACAATAAAAAACTGAGGCATAGAGAATTTCAAGAATAGCAGCCACTCTCTCAGCCAAGCAGGGGCAAAGCTGGGCTCCCAGCCTCCAAGCCCTTCCGTGGCCCCGTAAGCCGCTTTTGGAGTCCCACACTTCGTGCTGGGGTGTACAAACCTACATATGGCTCCTGCCTTTGTCTTCTCTAGTTCTACCCTGGCCTCCTTCACAGAGCTTGCTTCCTCTCCCTTGTTCTTAGAAGCTTCGTCTGCACACACGCAGGCCCTTGAAGGTGTGGGGACAGAGGACGTGGAATACTGCCGAGGAAACATTATTTCTTCCTTCCTGGGCACAGCAGTGGACTGAAGAAGTGCCCATCCAACTGGCAGCTTAACCCCAAAGCGTGCCCTTTGCTAGCAGGTCACTGCCCCTGAAAGCCCTTGGAAGTAGAATCCAAGAGCGATTAAAGGAACAGCCTTGTAACAAATCCTCCCCATGCGTAACTACCTGAGTAAGCAGAAGCCATTTTATTGACATGGAAGGAATGTTCTCAAGTAATTTAATTTCCCCTTCCCAACTGGCCAGACATCCTTTGCAACTGTTATTAAAAAAAAAAAAAAAAAAAAACTCCTCCTGGTTTTTCTTATGTGTAAAAGGGAAAGATGAGGGGGATGGGAGTAGAAAGTGAGATTTATTTTCACGTCTTACAACACCCAACAAGTGTAATAAACATTTATTATTAAATGTACTTAATTACGGGCCACTCCAAGCTGTTCCCAGGCCCTTCTTAGGGCCAGGACATTATAATAAATGCATTGTATGCCTCAGGGGGTTCCATTGAAAGGCATCTAACCCCTGTCTCCTTAGTAAGCGCATGTAATGCTGAGAAGGTTCATTGTTATCCGTGAGCAGCCAGGAGGAATGAATGCCGTGAATAGGCGCAGTATATGATGTATATTCCCCCTGGAATCTTGTGTGTGACCGACAAAATGACCTCATCACAGATGGGGCGGCTCGAGCACAGCCGCGAGTAGAACAGAGCCGGAGTACTTGAAGGGAGCCATCAGATGTTTGGAATGAATCATGTAATTCTTTACACACTTTCCTGTGAACTGTCAGAGGAGGAAAAATCATCAATGCCAGCAAAATTGTCCCTAAGCAAACCGTAGGCCTTTGAAAGCCGTTTAGAAGTGGTTGTTAGGAGGCTGCATTGTCAGTGTCCCTGAAAGGCCAGGGCTGGAGACTTCAGCCCTTCCTCCACCTGGCTCCTTCCTGTGCCCGTCAGATCAGGCAAAACGAAATTCTTCTGTGAGTAGAGCCACGCCATACTGAGACGAAGGGCTAGCCGCTGATTTGTTGCGTTCCTCCCTGTTTCCAGCAATGACAGTCATAGAGACTCTACAAATTCTAAGCCAGCCTCTCCTGCCTGGACAGCTTCTCTCTGGAATTGCGTCTCAGGAATAGAATATCCAAAATATCCTCAAATATCCACTTGTATTTAGTAAATTGTACATAGCTTTTTCATCTTATCAAGAAATAAAATGTTTGGGCCAGGCATGGTGACTCATTCCTATAATCCTAGCACTCTGTGGCTGAGGCAGGAGGATCCCTTGAGCCCAGGAGTTTGAGGTTACAGTGAGCTGTGGTGATGCTGCTCTGTACTATAGCCAGGGCAACAGCGCAAGACTCTGTCTCAAAAAAAAGGGGGGAAGAAGGGAAAGGAAGAAAAGGAAGGAAGGAAGGAGAGAGAGAAAGAAAAAAAGGAAGGAAAGAGAAAGAAAGGAAGGAAGGAAGGAAAGAAAAGAAAAAAAGAAAAGAATGTTTTCCTTAAAAATGTTTTTCTTCCCAGTAACATATACAGCTTTCAAAAATATTACACAAAGAGTCCAGTTTCTTGCCAGGGTTCGATCGTAAACTTTGTACTTACTGGCTGTACTTTTTTTCTTCTAAGACTTACTGTGGCAAAAGCACTACAGGTAATGGAAAAGAATTCTACTAGGTAGAATCCATCTGTAGACAGAACGTTCTGAACCCTACTCAGCTATTAACCACCTGTGTAAACTTGAGCTAATCACTTCTGGGTGGCAACTAAATTAAATCTGTGACTTAAAGGAGCTGGACAAAATGATCCCTAACTTTAAAATCCTGTGTTCCTTTATCTCACACAGGGAATTGGCTTGT